TCAATGGCGTCCGTATCCTCCTTCTTGGCTGTCGCCTCATCTGCAGGCTGATCACGAGCGACGATGCCTGTTACTGAGCTCTGAAGTTCGTGTAGTCCGAGGAGAACTTCATCGAGGTGCTCTTTCTTAAGCATGTCTTCAGGAGCCTCCGCAGCGCGGGGAGCTGACTCAATTGCCTCGACCTTGACTTGAAGTTGGGTGATAAGGGCCTTCAGACCTTCAATATCGTTGCTGCTGGTGGAATCAACGGGAGGAGTGTCACTTGCGAGCATCAGTTCACCTCCACGAGTCGTCTCAATTTCTTCGCTCTGTTTCTGAGCTTGCCTCAGCATCTCAACATCTGCCTTCAGACTGCCAAGCCCTGATTTCAGCTCATCGAGCAGCTCCGAATAGTCGAACTCCACGTTCTTATCCATGAGTTTTGCAAGGTCTTCCCGAATGGTGCCAACACCATCGTTCAAGGCTTCGATGACTTCACCATTAGTGAAATTGTCGCTTTCGACAGCCTCTCTGGGCTGGCTTTGCTCGCCCTTGAAGCTGTCGAATCTTTCATGCAGCGCAGCAATAATTTCATCCTTGTCGGTCTTGGGCTCCGTAGGTTCCGCACGGACCAAGGTCATGTTCATTGAGTGACGGAGTTCCTCGAATTCTTGTTTGATAATGTTCGTAATGTCGTCGACATTCGTAGACTTGTGCTGCTCAGACATCTCCCGGATTGCTCCAAGGATTGCATCACTGTCTATGCCCTTGTGTTGCTCGGACATATCGCGTACAACAGCAAGCACATCATCATTGTTGGCTGCCTTGTGTTGCTCTGACATTTCACGGATTGCTGCAAGAATCTCCTCGGTGTTTGTGCTGTTCTGCTTTTCGGAGATTTCATGGATGGCAGCAAGAATCTCCTCGCTGTTCGTACCGCTTTGCTTCTCGGACATCTCACGGATGGCAGAAAGAATCTCATCACTGTTCGTGTTGTTCTGCTTCTCGGAAATATCACGGAGGGCAGTAAGAACTTCATCGCTCGGCGCGTCGGGTTTCTGTTCGAACGCTGCCGCAACTGCGGCAAGGATTGCATCATTGTTGGCAGACTTGTGCTCCTCCAACTGTTCACGAAGAGCTGCAAGGATATCCTCTCCAGGCGTACCCGCCTGCTTCTCCGACAGCTCGCGAATAGCCGCAAGAACATCATCGTTTTGCGAAGACTTTTGCTGTTCGGAGATGTCGCGGATGGCGTCGAGAATTTCGTCCTTTTCATTCGGTGCGTTGTTGCGAATTAACAAGGAGCTCATGGTCTGGCGCAGATGCTCAAATTCCTTCTCCATGGCATCAAGAAGTTCTGGAGTATCCGGGTTACCGCGAGGCGCATTAGACATGGCGGTCTCAGTGATCGTCTTCTCCATGTCAGCCTGCAACAGGCGAAACCCTTCCTTGACAGTGTCCATGATCTCATGCTTCCCGGAAGCTTCGGCTGCAGTTGAGGCGTAGCCTTCCACTTCCTGTCGCACGACAGCAATGCCATCTTTGATAGCGTTAAGCAACTGCTCCGAGCTCTCTTCACTAGCACCGAAATGTTGGCCCATTTCCCCCTTTATGCCATCGAGCTGCTCCTGAACACGTTCCAGCATCTGCTCGCCGACGCTTTGGTTCGCCTCATTGGCCTCCGCCAGACCAGCCGCGATAGCCTCCATAAGATCATCCCTGTTGAGCTCGATCTCTCTCGTGATTGAGTTCTGGCTTTCCATGCCTTCAGCGATGGCGTGCATAATCTCTTCACGGGACACAGTAGGTTGAACGTTGGTGCTGACGACCGACTGCTGTGCAATGAATGCTTCATTTATCACATTGGCAACGTCATCCTTCGTGATGTGAGGGTGTTCGATGGCTTTGGTCGCTCCGAAATGCGCTTCTAGTCCTTCCGAGAGAGCACTCAAAATCTCATCACGACCCAGCCCAGAGTCCAGGGTGTCTCTTGTTAGAGCACTTTGGGACGTGACGGAGTGTGTGACGGCTTCTAGGATCTCATCGCGCATGCCATCAAGGTGTTCGCGCTCCACGCCCCGAGGTGCAGGAGGTTCGAAACCGGCAAGGCATTCGTGAATTGTTTGTACGATCTCTTCTTTCGTAATGCTGGGTGATTGTGCGAAGCTCTGCATTCCAGCCTGGACAGCCGCCAAGACTTGGTCGTAAGTAACGGCATCCTCGTGCTGCGGCCTATACTCTCTAAGCCCTTCTGACAAGCACTCCAGAATCTCGTCTCGTTCCAAGCCGAAGTTTTGCAACTCGATCTCAGGCTTATATGTCTCCCAGGCTTCCCTAACGGTCTCTAGGATCTCTTCCTTTTCCATATTGACACCGTGGGGCTCGGCACGGAACTGAGACAAGTCAAGCTCATCTAGAGCCCTCTTGACGACAGAGTAGAGTTCGTTGCCATTCATGGCGGCTCTGAATTCCGAGATGGATGAAGAGTGGTGCCTACTCTCATCCATAATTGAGGCGAGTTGGTCTCTAAGCTCGTGCAGGCTATTTTCGACAATACCAGCCAGCTCTTCATGAGTGGGACGATCCGGCCTATCTTCTATAGCGCGGGAAGTCCCAACTCCTTCGATTTGGCGAGCCAGATTCCTTCCCATTCCTAAAACTTCTCCTCGTAGTTCTCGTACAAGAGCTTTGACCTCGTTCGTCATGCCACCCCCTTCAATGACACTAGTCTTTACTCGTTTCATGATCGCTAGCATCTCGTCTGCCATTTCGGGATCGGCGGGCACCAAAGAGCGTTCTGCGGGCCGGACGTTGTGGGTTTCTATATCGGGAGAGTATGCATGTTCGTCGTCCAGCGACCTTGTTCCGGAACCATCTGGCTCTCCCTGCGGAGGAACGCTGTCGGCGCCGGCCCAAGCCTGAGAGCGTACCAAAGCCTTGTTTCCCGGGTCGTCCTTCACATGCTCGAGAATCTCTTCAAGCATCCTCGTAATCGTCTCATCGTTTGATACTTCGTGGGTTTCGGAGACAGGCCTAGCTTTGATCTCCTCAACCATTTCTATAAGCTTGTCTTGACCTTCCTTCGTCCCCATCTCCCGGAGGACCTTCTCTAGTAATGCGATGCTGGCGGAACCATCAGAGATAGGCGTAGGAGATCCACACAATTCGCGCTCCATTGCTGCGGCAAATGGATTAGGGCTTGACATTCGTGGTGCTGCATAGCTCTTCTTCGAGCTCGGAGAACTATCCGATTCCCTGTTGTTAATACCGTTTTCAGAACCCAGGAGAGTACTGAAGTCCCACCTTGTGGCAGCATCAGAATCAAGGAACTTTGCGGCTAGGCTGGAGGACAAGTCACGAAGGCTCTTTCGAATATCCTCATCTCGGGCATTAGTCGCAGCTTTGAGACTGACCAGGTCCGTGGCATTGTCTTTACTTCGTCGGCTTAGTTGAGCCATTTCGCGCTGAAGGTTACTCGCAATATCTGTCAGGCTGAGTATCTGGGTAGATAACGATTCGAAGGTGTGGTTGTCGGGGCGCCTAGGCCCAATAAACGGGTCTGCATCGTTACTTTTTGGTTTCGATGGCTCGACGCTCTCGGTAGGCAGCTGCATGTTCTGCAAAGCTAGCATCGTCGCCGACGGAGGTGTGCTTTCGCCTAGGATTGGCCTCGAAAGGTATCGGTTTGAAATCTGCAAGTTAGGCAGCTCCTGTTCATTGTCGCGCGAGTCCGCTGAGTCAGGAGCTTTCACGGGCGTTAATTCATGCTGCTTAGGGCTCTGATCAAAAGTCGACGCGCGGAGAGGCCGTTCTGGTGACCGGCTCTCGAGATAGTTTAAGAATTCATTGCGAGCATCTGTATTCTGTAGCGACTGCATGCGCCTGTGAAATTGGCCCTTGATGAGGGACTTCTCTGGGGACTTCGGCGGCATGGGGTTGGTCGTATACGGGCTCGGTGCGTTTTCGCGCATCTTCTCTTGGAAATTCGCCGCCACGGCTTGGATGCCTGGGGAGACATTTCCTCTTGTAACAGGGCTAGTAGCACTGGGGTTCATGGGGAGCGGAGGGGGTGCCCGTTCGGGATCCGAACTGTCCCACCTTCGTTTCCACAGTCCACGGTCAGTCTGATGCGATTCATAGTTATAGCCCAAGAGAGCGGCTCAAAGATAGAGTTTGCACATACATGGGCACCGATTGATGTCTAACGACCAGTTCCCGGTCGCGGGACCCATCTCGTGTATGCGTAGGCATCATGTAACTTAATCGTCGTTAAAGCAGAAAAAACAGGGTATGTCTGTCGATGTTGGATATAAAGCAAGTCGATCGAGGGATATCAGGAATGTGCGAGAGGAATGTTCGTCAAAATCAAAGCAATCGGGGTCGTAAAGGGCATATCAAATCGTCAAAACAAAAACTAAAAAGACGCAGGAGGGGGGTGGAATTGAAAGACAATAGGCGACAAAAAACAGGAAAGGGATATAGAATGTAAAATGAAGATGATGATACAAATGCGCTTGCTATGAGAGATGAGGGGAAACAAGGACGACGAAACACAATGCGACGAGACAGTTGCAAGAGACCAAGGAACACGAGCAGGCTCCAGAGGTTGAACAGTCAATATAAGAGACAATCAAACATCCAAGTGGAGTTCCTGGCTGAAAGGAACGGTAGCTCATGGGGCATCAACGGAAGCCCGATCCAATGTGCGGCGTACACATCGAAGCTCCCGTCATAGCAACCGACGGTCCTTTGGTTGTCCGGTAAACAAAGAGCCAAGACCCGATCGAGGCGGTGAGTTTGTCCGACCTCCCCGACATCTCGGGCACTAGTCCGTTTGGAGAAACATTCCCAACTCGGCTAGTAGCCTTCAGTCGGTAAGGTGACCAATGAGATTTTGGCGCACAAAGCCCTGAGCCCTCTTCGCTCAGAAAAATAGAACGTCCAACGCGGAGAACCTCACTTACTCGACCGAAGCACATCGACAACCACCCCATCGACCTCCGCTCACCGGGACTTTCACAATGAAGTGTTAGTGAAATGCTGCATCACCTCGACTCTTGATTTTTCTCGTCTTCGAATCCAAACTGACAGGATGTTACGATAGTCATGAAAGTGGGCCGTGTGGCCATCATCACCCGTGGCCGTTACGCCGGTAAGAAGGTACGACAACCGATTTCTCCATTTTCTGGCGAGGACATACATATATATATACCCCGAGGTGGAATGGATTGGAAGGAATGATTTTTGCCGACTTGGGAAGAAGAAATGAGTCTTCGATTTGCATGGGAATGAAATCATCGAGCGGAAACGCGATTTACGGACGAACTACCACGGGGGATATAACGAACGGAATGTGCAAGGATAGATGTGCTGACGAGGGTTTCTTTCGCGAATGACAGGTCGTCATTGTCCAGCCTAACGACACTGGCTCCAAGGCGCACCCCTTCCCTTACGCCATCGTCGCCGGTATCGAGCGCTACCCCCTCAAGGTCACCCGCCGCATGGGTAAGAAGACCGTCGAGAAGCGCAGCCGCATCAAGCCTTTCATCAAGGTCGTCAACTACAACCACTTGATGCCCACTCGCTACACTCTCGAGCTCGAGGGTCTCAAGGGTGCCGTCTCCACCGAGACCTTCAAGGAGGTTTCCACCCGCGAGGATGCCAAGAAGAACGTCAAGAAGGCCCTTGAGGACCGCTACACCAGCGGCAAGAACCGTTGGTTCTTCACTCCTCTGCGTACGTCTTACTCTTATCACCTTTTGCAGCTACGTTGGCTGGGTTAGGTTCGCAATGCTGACCGCTCTACAGGTTTCTAAACGGGGTAATTTGGGGCGTTTTGTCGTTTGAGCGCGCAGGGTCTTAGATGAGGCAAAGGGAAAATGAAAAAGCATCGAAGACGTCCGGTTCAAAAGCATGGGATCACGTGAAGTATACCATAGCACGAGAGAAGAATGGGAATGTATCGATGTACAGGTCCAGGACTTGACCAATTTTTCTTATCATGAGGGAGGCCACTCAGATCTGGCGTCCGTCTCGAAATGAAATGGAAAATATGAACAAATTCAACTTTTTTTTTGTGTTTCGGAATTTTCGGCTTCCCAGGGGTTTTCTTCCTTTTTACAACAACGCATGGCACAACCTAGCGCAGACAAAGAACGCATCCGTACTACAGCAGCCGGTCAGGTCGGAAAAGATTACCAAGTCCGAAGTCACCACGATTCGCTCGATCATTTTCAAACGAAAGCATACTTATCACCTTGGAACGAAAGAATGCTATCGAATCATCCGACACCACGGGCCCTTCCAAGTTCCCCCTGTTTGCTTTGTCTTACGAGGGAAGGAAGGGAACATGTGTGTGTGTCGGGTCCGATCTAGATTTGGAAACCTACATCCGTTCAACCTACCGAGCTTGTACTCCCATCCCCGCACGGCCGATATTCCCCGTACATGAAATCCCAGCCTATCCCACATGTTGGGGTAAAAAGCGGAGTTCCATGGAGAAGCATATATCCCCACCTGTAGGAAACGTAGGCCAGGCCTATATTAGGGGATTATGTCATATTGTGTAGATACGCTGCTCGTCCTTTGGTTCCGTCTAATGTGCGTAGTGGCGGATTAGTGCAAGGAGGCCATGTTCACTAGTGAATGTAGCACGGATGATGTTGCCCCTCCGTCTAAATGACGGTAGCACCGGCTTCTGCGCCTGAACCAAATAAGCTAGGTACCAGAAAGGTAGGTGTAGCGCCAACTGGTGCTGGCAAGGGACTACATGGGGGTCCCTTGTAGCCGTGGAAATGAGGAGGTGCAATTAGAGGTTGCGATCTGTGCACGTCGTTCCTTACCCGAGAGAGGGAGTAGCCGTCTAGGCGTGCGACAATCCCTCAGTTTCGGTCGTCGATAATGACCGGGTATTTTACGATCCTGGCAGCATGGCAACAACTAGGATGGTTAAAGCTACCGATGGGAACCCTTCAGGACATGTGAAAAGCCATTGGTTGTTGATATCTACGCGGCCGGCGATTGCAGCAAGCAAGCCACCAGGAGTCGGCCGTCCAGGTTGTTGGCGCCTTCTATCTCATTTTGCTTCCGATCGCCGGGTAGAGAAACTGTAGTGGTGTTGAGGGGGAGGACCTTACGTCCAGACTGGGCGTCAACGCTAAATCAGACTTAAGCACAAAGACACTGCGTTATGCTTCAATATGTCAAAGTTGATCGGGATCGAGGTTTATGAATTGACCTCCGGGAAGGCTAGCGTTCGACCGACATGCAGCAGCAAGACAATCAGACAGCATTGGAAAGTCCAGCACGGTACGACCATTGTCGCATGAACAGAAGTACGACGCACATGGTCAGCACTAGATGAGACTGGCCTGGAGGCGAGCCCGTGGAAGATACTACAATGGGGACTTATTCTGTCGAAGCTTGCTCAGATCTGGACAGCACTTGCAGGACTGCCACCACACGGTTGGCGTTGGTAGCGCCCAAGACGACGAGTGGATCAAGCTAAACCCCTCTCTATCCCAGAAAAATCTACGGAGCAGTCTGGATAGTAAGATGTCTTCCACGGAGAAAGGTGATGGTCCAAAGGGTCAAAGGGTCAAAGACGCCTCCAACCCCGGACCTGAGACGAGGTCCAGGCGCAAAGATGATGATGCTTGCACTTCCCGCAGGAGATCAACGAGAGCGGTTACCCATCTGGTACAAAAGGAAAAGCAGGGGGAAAGCAGTAGTCCGTTTTCCGGATGTACTGATCCTCAACGTTTACCCTCCAGCTGGTTGCTTCTTGAGACTAGTACTCCGGATCGTTGGGGTGGAATTTTGGGGATCCGGTTTCCTTGTGACAGTCACCGTGAATAGGCGCCCTGATAAGCATGCGGCGCGAACCACGGCGAAGTCCCGTTCTTATCGGAGCCACGAGGAATTCAAGTAAAGGGCCACTGTAAGGTTAGCAATTTGTGCATATTTCCAAACGAACACTGAAAAGATGGCATATAATTACGGCCGATAAGATCAAGGTGAATAGGGAAAGGACATTAGGCAAGAGGAGTGTGTTCGGGAATGAACTACAATGACAGTTAGTGTAGTAAGTAGCAGGAAGACCAGCCGACGGGCGATAGAACACGACTAGGGCCGCCCGACCCGCAATCACATGCTATCAGCCCATCCCGCGATTCCAAGCCAGAAAACCTTCCAAGTCAATCAACTGTTCGCAACTTCCGGATTCCATCATCATCCACACTGCACTGCTGCAACTACTTTCAGCCTGTAGCCCCGAATCAAGGTCCTAATTTGCTGTTCCGATGCCTGTCGTTCATTTGTTTGGCTTGGCTCTTGCCACTCCGACAACGCAACCGTTACCGCCGTTATCGAGACCAAAATCATGAATCGTTCGATTCTCATTCCGTTCCAGCCATGACTACTCTATCTATACATGACTAAGAAAGAGGGAACCATGTAGGCACAGGTGCGGGTGGCTTGCTCGACACGGCCTTCCGAGGGGTCTGAACTCACTCTGTTCAGTTCTGAATCCTTATTTCATATCCTCGCTGCTCCGCGATAGCAACTACTAAGTATGTTCAGTGCGAATTCGGATGCGAGCTGTCGGGGGAGCGCGAGCGCACGGAAGGAGATGCACGATCCTGGTCAATCCAATCTTGGGTCGCGTTTTCTCCAGGCTCATCCCAGGTTCCAGGCCCTGCAGGTGAAATGATAATGACGATGAAGCCGCCGGATTGAGCACGCAACAACTAACTCCGTCCTACGACGGTCTAAAACCTCCTGGAACCAACGGCTGGCTTGCCCCTCCATTCAAGCTCCAAGCGACTTGTTCACCAACGGGCCCGCTATCACATGCTGCCAACTCGCTCTCTCTCTCTTTTTTCTATTTCTTACTCAGAAAAATAAATAAAATATTTATTTTTTGCATTATCTCATGATAAATCAAACTAACATAAAGAAAGACAATAATTAAAAAAACTAAAATAAAATTAGCACAGAAAAAAAAAATCAAACTAATCAAATCACTCAAGCCTCATAAATCCTAGCTATCGGATCGACTGATGGCGTGTTCGCTCTTCTCTCCTCTGAACCTACCTTAAATTTAACTACGGTTCACCTCTTTCCGGTCCATCCCAACTGCTCCCGTATTCCGTCTTTCCTTCTGCAAATGTAAGTAATGTCCTTTCCCCTCTCACCCCTCCATTTCCTTTATTATCCTCAACATCCCCATCCTCCTCACTTTCCGCTTCTTGTCACCGCTTCTTCACGTCTGACCCTCCATAGCTCGTCTTGTCCACCAGGACCTATCTAGCTTTGAGCATTCTATTGTCGGGTAAGGGTTTATCTTATCGCTCCGCTACTCTATACTTCCTTTCATATACTAATGCGATTTTCATGTGATAGAAACTTATGCCTCACGCAGAAAACGGCATTATGGGCGAGAACTCTGTCAACGGGGAGGCTATCCACTCCCAATTCCTCGATGTGAGTTACCCTAATGCACGACTGTCGATCGCTTCTAACATGCGCTAATCTCTATTTCCTATGGTAGCACCTGACATCCTATCCTGTTGTTTCCGACTCTATCACCGTCATCAAGACCAACAAGTACGCCGCGAAATCTCTGGAATATGCCGACCAAGGCTACTCTCGCTTAGCCAAGCCGTTCCTCCCTTACTTCTCCAAGCCGTACGGCTTCGTTGCTCCGTATGTCGCGCGCGTAGATACTCTCGGAGACAAAGGCCTGAGCAAGGTTGATGAAACGTTTCCATTTATCAGAGATGATACGACCACGCTCAAGGGATCGATCAAAGATGGTGTCTCATTCCCAGTGCGATTCGCTTATGACCTAAAGGGTCATGTTTTTGACACTTACAGTTCTGAGTACAAGAAGTGTGGTGGGGACGGAATGGTTGCGAGCGGCAAGGCCGTCATCACTACCGGCTTGGTGCTCTCGCAGGAGTCGCTAGCCTATATCAGCTCCTTGCTTCAGGCCAAGAAAGCCCAAGTTAAGGATGCAGTCAACGAGAAGACTGACAACTAAACTCTCGCAATTGTTATACTTTATTCCTGTTTCAGCTGGTCTGTTGTCTTGCGATAGGTAATTCTTTTGCGTGTTTGTTGTTTAGATCGTTTTGCTCTGGGAGGTCTGTCTCCTTTATTCGGTTTGTCTTGGACATAGGCGGTTGCGTTCAATTCTCCACGTGCTCATGCAGCTTGCATTGGATACATACACAGGCTTGGTAATGGTAGCTAGGGATTAATTGACTTTCATGAAATGTCCGTGCCAGAGGTCTGTGGTAGATCAGTAATAAAACAGCAAAAAAGTAATATGACAAAAAGATCTCCCCGACTGGGAGTCGAACCCAGGTCTCCCGCGCTTGTTCCTGGGAAGGATTGACAAGCGGAAATCATGACCGTTAGACCATCGAGGATCTTCGTTGCGAAAAGCAACTAACTTATGCTATACTAGCAAGGGCTACAGATCTAATAAAGTAGCAAGAATCGCGACAGCTAAAGTATCCCAAGGGTATACAGGGATACAAAAGTCACATCTTACCAACCATTGCTTCTGCTTCTAGCAAGCAAGATACAAAGTACTGAGGCCTACCAACACGCACAAATATCACATAAAACATAGCAATCCAACAACAACTCCACACTTCCAAATCAATCAGACTTCGACGCTCCGTCAGGATAGATACCCAGTCCCTCCCTATCACTAGGAACCAATACATCAAACTCCCCCATAACCCTGGCTCTACCAACCAACCCTGTACTATATACCTTGTCAACATCAACCAAACACATCCAACTACAACAGAAATTCAAAGTAACTACATCCCAGAACCAAATTACATACAAACATACATATCACAAATCTACTCCATACTTGGGTAGATATATGGTACCAACCGCCCCACTTAAGAAGCCCTAACCGGTCCGAAAACAGCTACAACCCCCACCAGCAGCTCTAGATTTATGTAGTCAAATTATTGCCTGAATTAAATATATCACATCCTCGATGGTCTAACGGTCATGATTTCCGCTTGTCAATCCTTCTCAGGAACAAGCGCGGGAGACCTGGGTTCGACTCCCAGTCGGGGAGGGTTCCTTTTTGCTTTTTGTTTTTTTGGCTTATTGGGGATGGGGTTGCTTGGTTGCTTGGTTGGTTGAGTAAAGGAATGGAGAGTGGTGTGTGTTATATTTTTTGGGTGGGTGGGTTTCTGATGTTTTTTTTTTTTTTTTTTTTGCATTTCAAGTCATTGAAGTATTGATTACTTACGATCATATATTTTTGGTTGTGGGTTGTTGCTGATGTCTCACGAGCGGGATAAGATATCTTTAAATGTTGGGGATCGCTAGTTGGGGATCGCTTTAGGACTGAGGGAGTGTAGGGAAATGATAAAGGGTCTGTGGTCTTTTATTCGCTGGACCTATACCCTTTGTTGAGGATATACTTTTCTACCAAGTAGTCTAGTGTGGCTATCACTTATAGCATCGATCTTGTCTTGGTAAAATGCACTATTATCGATGACTTCTCCGGAGATCAGCTGCAATCCAAGCATACCGGTCCTCAACTTTATTAAGTGTGTCGAGTGATTGCGTGTCGCCAAAATATTTGTGGACTTCGGGAATCTCAGGATCCTTCTTACTCAACCCTTTGAAGGCATGTTGCATATCATCTGTCCGGAATACCGGTTTGTTCTCGGGCTGTCTCGCTGCTGTTCCCATACAGTATTGCAGTAATGCGGCCAGTCCAGCTGCAACAGCTGTCGCTAATGAGCTACCGGACAGTGACTGTGGTGGAAACTGAGGAGAGTGCATCTGATCCCTTAACGGTAGGTTTTCTCCTGGAAGATAGAAGTCCAGTTTCTGTGCACCAGTCCGGGACCATTTCCCACCATCGATGGTGGCTGCACCAATCTTGAGTGGATCGCTGAATGCAGCAGGGAGATCATTGTTATCCAGCGAAACGCTAGTGTTTCCATAGTCGCTTGCAGCGCAGAACATGGTGATTCCATTATCGTATGCGGCGCGGATACTTTTCTGGAAATCGTTGTACAGGTCCCCGGGCATCTTGCTCTGATTTATGCTCCAGCTCATAGAGATGATATGCACACCAGCATTAGTAGCCCGTTTGATCGCCTTGATTGCTGTTTCTGGTTTAATCTGTCGCACTCCTTTTTCCCCATGTCCCTCGCCGAGGCGAATAATGTATAAGCGCGCCTTGGGACAGATACGACAAATCAACTTGGCCATTTCCGTGCCATGACCACCAGGTGCAGACCAGTAGTCAATGGGGCGATCGGGACGACCGGGCCGGTGATGAAAGGAAGTTCCACCATCGATGTTCTCCTGCAGATTTGCTTGGAGAGGGTCGATTCCGTCATCAATAATAGCCACCTTCACAGTGGGTGCATACTTCTCCAGGTGCCGGTGGTAGTTCTTGACGATCAGCGCAAACTGGTCCATCGTATCCAGCCAGGGATGCTTGCTGATAAAGCGAAAAATTACGTTAGTTTGTCGTTTGAGCAAGCCAGGAGAGAATGAGGGGAGCGCTACCTGCTGATGGCTGTCGCCTGACTGTGGAAGTGGATCTGCGGCGAGATGCGGTTCATCATTCTCTCTTCCACAACCTCGATTTCCGGCCGGATTTTACGTAACCTCTGCTTGAACTGATTTAGATACAGGGTGATTCTTTCTTCTGAGATAACTCCCTGGATAGTAATTTTCGACTCTCTTTAGTGAAACTCACAAATTCTCAGTGGAGTCGGATACCTACTGGTTGGATGCTGAGGTGAATTTTTTTCAACTATGCCCAGTAATCAGCACATGTTTGAGAACTCAGAACTTGTCAGCTCTTACCTTTTCTAGCCTTTCGAGGCCGCCAGGGGCTGACCAACCACGCAAAACTTCGTTGTTACTGCTGGAGTAGAGATACAGCTCACGTACGCCCGGTGCGGCGTTGAAGATGGCATCGCTCGGCATATCGAATCGGTTCCAATTAAGAATTTCAACTCCAAAGCCCTGGAGAGCCATCTCAATGGCTTCTTCACAATGGGGAGTATTGCAGTCATCAACTACACTGACATCAATGATTTCGCTGACCCCTTTGCTCCGCAACCATTGGAAGACTTTTACAAAGTCAACCCTTCCAGGCAGAGAGGACGTGCGCCGCGAATCCTCTTGGTCACTCTGGGGATCTTCCAGGAGGTTCTCTCCACCACTAACGGTCAGGCACGGTAGGTCGACGTGATGGAGGATGCTCTCGAATTGGACATGGCGGACCAATTTTGTTAGGCGCTTGTATGTATAGTTGTTCTCTGCGTCATTGGAGAGATCGAAATAGATTGTTTTTTCTCCACCGGGTCCTGAGCCATGAGGCCGAGTACCTACCGTTCGAACATCGTACAAGATTTCTTTCAGCTCATCTACCGAAAGCTCTCTCATATAAAGGCGTTTTATATCCTCTGTTAGCTTTCTCAACACTGTATAGTTCTTCGCGGACCCAAGCAGCTCATATGGTAGCCTGTTGTCCTCGGTGCGCTTATAAAATTCCCTCGGGCAACGCGTGGTCAGGTCCTGGACCCAATCAATAAGACACTCGATATTCGGAGACGGTTGAGAGGGCGGTGGCGAAGCAAAGGCGTCTCCAATAGCTTTGACCGCGACGTGTAAGGGCGTTCGGCCAATGTCATCGGTGTGGGAGAGAGCCTTGGGATTTTCAGTTAAGGCAAATTCGATAAAGCTAATCATTTGGGGAAGATTTTTGGTGGTCAAGCCGGTGTTGTGCCGTGCAATGGTGTTAATAGCCACATGCAACGGGGTTTGGCCCTTTTTGTCCCTGCAGGCAAAGAGATCCACCAATATTTTGTGACGCTGCTGAGCATCTGAAACGTCACTTAAAGCCTTATGGACTATTTCAACGATAGGCAGCATTGATTGGAGGATTATATGCAAAAGATTACCATTTCCGCATTCCTGGCCCAGTGCAGGAATCTTCTGGCTGGTTTTCAGAACGGCCTTGATAAACTTTTGGTTGCGTTTGTCCTGGTTGCCCGCGATATGCGGCGCTGTATACCCGTCTTGATTCCTTTGATGGACTAGTTCTGGATAATCGCCAACCAAGCGTCTCACCAGTAATTGACCCTTCGGTTGTCGTGCGAAGTGATGAAGCAAGGTCTCCCCTTTTTCACCCACAGCCCCAAGCACGTCCCGATACTCTTCAAGGAACTCTTGGAACTTTTCACGGCCTCCAAAATATAGCTCGACAGACTTTGCGTCGGATTGCCTTTGCTCGTACTTCTTGCAGATATCGCGATGCCTCCTTGTAATATCCTGCAACTTCCTTCCCTCGCTACTGAGATGTTGGAATGTTCCCTCTCCCTCTTCCTCGTCGTCGTCCTCCTCGCCCTCACTTCCGTCGTCTCCCTCTCCCAGGCCCAGGGTTGGCTGTCTTTTCAAGACCCCGATCGGGCGTATTTGTTTCTCACCAATCTGTTGGTCCTTGGACGATACGACATGAACACTGCGAAGGCTCTTGTCCCAGCCATACGGGTCTTGTGGAACTCGTGCCCGGAAATCACCAAGGGGAACGGCCTGAGGCATCAGGGATGGTTTTTAGAAAGATAATCTCACGGTCGATAAATTTGACTTTTGGATATTTAGGTTAACAGAGCAGCTGAGAGAAAGATTTGATACTGCCGGAACATTCCCTCTTCCTGCTGAAGGTGAGGCTGACATGGGTCCGATTAGAAGACTTGGTCAGGGTGTTGTACGTTTTGTTTGCCGACGTCCCCTCCCGATGGTTGCGGAGCTTCGCGTGATCCTGCATCCAACTCTGCATAATCACACACCTTCCTGTGCTCGCACCACTCCACTTGCACTTACCCCGACATTTGATTTGGCAATCTGTCCACTCCTCGCAGTTTCACCATGCAAGTGTTTCATAAGTGCATCGTTTCATTGGCCCACGTGGTTGGGAGGTCCAAGAGATAAGGTCCCATTTGTTTGATTTCGGAGTACTATTTCAGCTGCTCCTGAAGCTCAGCCTCGTGGGCACCATCGAAATAGCCCGCCTCAACTCGATACATCATAACAAAATTTGATTGAATCTGGGCATACAATGGATTCGACTGCTAAAGGAAAGTCCTTTGCTCGACTGTGGGCACGGAAATCAAAGGGAAATCGTCCTCTATCGTTTGAGCCAGAGTCAGTTATACTCTACGATCGCGCACCTCGTGTTCTTTCTTGATATGTCTTGTGCTATATGCTGACGGTGCTAGTATTGTGGTTGTTCATGACCTGGGAGGACCAGAGTTCGCCTGCGAGAAAGGGAGCGGAGAACTGGTGGCCTGGTTCGAGGATGTTCTCATTGCAGATTACCCCGATGCCCATATTCTCAGCTTTTCCCCCATACCAGATGCTTTTTCTGAAACCCTACTCACAGGCCGTGGTTTTCAGATCCAGGCTTGGGAGCTGCTGAGCTCAATCCAGCAGCAAAGAGAGGAGGATCATGTCAGTTATCACCCCGGATTATTGTGTTTCAGCCTCTCATTAACAACTTCAGCGTACCGGATCCGAAATTATATTCCTTGCTTCGGGTATAGGTCTTCTTGTTGTAGAGCAAGTTCGTGGTTATTGCCTTGAAATTCCCAACACAAAAAGAGCATTGTAGCTAACACCTCTCTTTCCCTCAAAGGCGCTAGTGATTGCCCACCACTACCAACGGTTCCAATCGATTAGCCGTGAAACGTCTCTCATAGTAAGAAGTCCTCTGAGCACACAGTTTGTGCGTGGATTTTCTACACAACAAAGCTAACATAAGTCCGTTCAGGGCTTTCTGGAGGCCGAAGCATTGAAAGAAACCGGAAAATCGTGGGAAGAAGTCAGTCTACGCACAGCTGTTCGATTGCACCAGCGGTATGGATGGAGCATCGCGACGACAATAAGTCACCTAGCTACAACAATGAAAGAAACCCATAGTGCCTTCACTCTGCTTTCTGGGCGATATAAGACACTCACATCTAAACAAACAATAGCTTTTCGGACAGAGAAAGCGACCGATGAGGTGCTAAGTGAGTGGCAAGTTCTCTCAAGCCAAATCAGGCGTTTAGCACTGCCCTTTTTAGAAGGTATGAGATAGTCGTCTACTTCGTGGAACTGATTAAAGTAGCTGTAGAGCTGATATCCAGACCATTAGGTTCCCAACAATCGTTGCACGCCGTGTACGGCCGAGATGCCCGCAACCTAATCCTTTCCAAATTTGCTCCCTCGCATGTTCGTGGACTGATGCCATATACGGCTTGCTCCCAAGCCCATGATCTCCTATATTCTGATACAACCTACCAGTCGTGGAGAAATAATGGTAACGCTGGAGTATTCTATGTATATGGGGGTGGGAAGATGGAAACTGCGCAGGTCACAGGAATATCGGCAGAAGATACGGCGGTGACAGCTTACTTATCTTTTGAAAATGTCCCATGTTTTGAGAGAACAGTATCAACTGTTATAAAAGTGCTTATTCATAGGTTCCTGGTCACTGTTGGCCCCGCCTTCGATATCATTCGACCCGTTCTACGCTCTTTCGGTCACATACCAAAATACACTGTTGAAGAGTTATGGGTCCTTCTTGGATCATTATTGTCATGTCCTGATGTTCAATCCATCTATTATATAATTGATGGAATTGATTTGTGCAATGACAGCATAACAGATCAGTTAGATGCACTGGTGGAGATGGCCCATGCCCGAAGTATATGCTGCAAAGTGCTTGCCACAAGCCGAACACTCAGCAATGCAACATCCGGGAAAACGAATGCATTGGATCTGAATTCATTATTATTACAGCACGGAAACTTAAAGGATATCGTCCGGCGTACAATGCGACAGTTAATGACGCAAACACGCGGCCTCACGGAGCTTGAGCAGGTAATCGTCAATGAGCTTCGGGGATCTGCATCCCTTTCAGATATCAACATTCGACTGCAAGCCTTATTACACTTCGCCAGGCCACTAAGTGTCTGCTCGATAGAGGGGAGCCTCCAAATTCTGCAGAAACCGCTGTCAGAGCTATATGCACGGATGCTGGGCCCGCTGAATGCTTTAATGCCATGGGTGCGCAGGGCTTTGTCTTGGATGGTGCTTAGTTTCCGGCCGCTTAGCATACATGAGCTAGCTATTGCTGTCTTAATTCCCGAAATTCTGGAAGAGCAGGAGTTGCTTCGCCAACTACCTCTTGATCTTGAGGGCGACTTGACCCGTGCCTTGGGACCGCTGATTGAAATTCGCAACGGCCAACCTATGTTTGCGAGCGAATCCGTCAGAGAATATATCGGAAGGGAGCTCACAGCAAAGTTGGAGTTCGGTACTGATGCTCAAGCTTGCGATCTGTTATCGCATGTTGATTTGACTCGTCATTGTCTCACATATCTGAAACGCTCTTGGGTGACTCAAGCGAGTCCAGCCGACGAATGTTATAGTTTCTTGGGACAGAGCGGAATGGAGTTCAGCGAGTACGCGGCACGATACTGGCCTTATCATTACCGCGCAGAAGAGAATAGAGGTAATCTTGCACATGGCATAATAGATTTTTTCTTTCAGGACAACTGTGGAATACGTTGGGCAGAGTGGTGGCGGAATGCGCACTGTCTCGACAGCACAGACTCCTTTGAATCCACCCCTCTTGCTCTTGCTGCGGAACATGGCCTATGCGAGGTCGTTTCCAAACTGATATGGCCCACCGAGGACAAGTCTGTTCCTTCACAGGAAATGACTAAGGCCTTAGAGGTAGCATTACAATTCGGTCACCTGGACGTGGCCCGCCAGTTGCTGCTCGACACGACCCCTTCAAATAAATCACTTACTCTTGCTACGAGAACAGGGGACACAGAGCTTGTCACTAATATACTCCACAAGATCGATATTCCAGAATCTGTCTGTCTTGAGCCACTTAAAGTAGCAGTCATACGTGGACATCTTGAAACAATTGACGTCTTGCTGCAGCTGCTTCCGGATTTGCCATCGACTCTCCAGGATAACACATATTTGTATCTCGACGCCATTAGATCAGGGCAGTTCCAAGTTTTGAAACACTTCCTCAATGTTGGAGGCGCACGATTACCAGGGGAAGTTGGCTCAAGCTTGCTTCGCTTGGCTGCCCAGAGAGGCGACATCGGTGTCATTCGCTTGCTCCTGGCCGAGGGCTTCAGTGCAGACCAGAAAGATGAGAATGGCTGGACAATCTTACATCATTCCGCTGACAATAGGCGTGCTAACGTTGTTACTGAACTTTTACCGTCGCACGACGCTGAGGCCAAGGATGTTAATGGCATGTCACCGTTGCATCTTGTCTGCGGAAATGGAAGCATCCCGACGTTTATCGCACTTATGAAGGCGAATAACATTAGCCTCGAAGCACCCAACTTTGACGGAGACCAGCCAATCCATTTAGCCGCAGCGGGAGGCCACCTCCAGATTGTTGTACGTCTTGTGGAAATGGGAGCAGATCCATACACTTCGAATCGCAAAGGATTCACGCCGTTACACTTGGCCGCTCAAGCGGGCCACCTGGAGGTCGTTCGGGAACTTATTCGCCGAGCAGAAGATCGACTGTCGGTCAGTCGAACAGCTGAAGAATCTCCACGCATAGAGTTCCGCGAGGATATAAGTGAGCATAACGGAGAGTCAGCGGCAGCTGGAGACAGTCTGGATGCCCGCAAGAGTGACAGTAGCAGCGGTAGTGACAGTGAAGAAGAGGAGGAAGGGGAGGAAGAGGAAAGTAGTGATGGAGATGCCGAGGAAACAGGAAATCAAATTTATGCGCACGAACCAACCCCTTTGCATTCGGCAGCTTTGAGAGGTTATGATGACGTTGTAAGGGAGCTCCTCGAGGCGCACGCTGATCCTAATTATGGGAACCAACATGGAAAAACGCCCCTGCACCTGGCAGTTCAAGATGGTCAAACGGCTGTTGTAAAGGCGCTGCTTGATGGAGGCGCCAACCCGAGTCTGTGCGATATGGATGGACGTCTGCCAATACATCTTGCTTCTGAAGTCGGGAACATTTTCATTTTCCGGGCCCTTCAGCAAGTCGTGTCTTACGTGGAAGCGGTCGATGACCGAGGTAGGACCCCGTTGCATATTTGTGCCCGGCATGCATATGAGGAACTGGTCCAAGTACTGCTCAATCAAGGAGCCGATCCCAACGCTAGCAATTCTGAAGAACAAAGCCCCTTGTACTGCGCGATTCAAAGTGGCAACCCACAGGTATTCAAGATATTGTTAGATGCTGGTGCCAAAATCAATGGTGCAAGTAAAAGCCAGGCTGCGCTGATTTATAAAGCGGTACGTGCTGGGCAAGACAAGGATGTTATCCGGCTACTGATGGAGGCTGGCTGCAACCCACTGGCGAAGGTTTCGGGTTTGATGACATCGTTGGAACTGGCTCTTATAAGAAATGATCGGGCAATGGTGTTGCAACTCTTGGAGCGTGTCGGACCAAATACCCCGTCACTGGCGGAATACTCAGAGGGACTTTTTTGGCTCGCCTATGAAGGCTGCATTGAGGGAGTCAGAAAGGTTCTGAAAGAAGCAGGCGATGGCACACTAGAGGGTAAGACCTTTGGAATGGCAGCTTTGCACATAGCAGCAAGAAGCGGGCGTGAGGAGGTATTGCAATTTCTCTTGGAACGAGGCTCGAATCCGAATGCACGATCATCCGATAATAAGACGCCTTTAATATATGCATGCACGCGAGGTGAACAAGTTGGAGTTGTCAAGAGGCTGTTGGATGCAGGCGCGAACCCTGATCTCGTGTCTGATAGGGGCTTCAGCGCCCTCCATTGTGCAATAGAGTCAAAGAGCGACGACCTAGTGCAACTTCTACTCAAGCAGGGGACGCCCTTGCCCAGTGCTACAGAGACCGGTGTTACAATCCTGGGTTCTGCTGTCCAACATAGAATGTCCTCTGTGGTTGAGCTTCTTTTGCAACGTGGGGCTAACCCGTTCGAGATTCATCGTGGCAAGACAGTCATCGAGTGGGCTATTATGGATGACAATCCGGCCTACTTAAACCATATGGTCCATTACGGAATTGGCATGGTTGATGCTGAGAGCAGATTCACACCATTGCATCTTGCGGCAATGATAGGCAATTTGGAACTCATTGAGAAGCATTCATCTAGTCTCGGGGCCAAAGATACGGTTTACGAACGGACCGCGCTGCATTGGGTTGCAAATAAAGGTGAATCGGATGCGCTGAAATACTTGATTTACTTGGGTGAGGAAGTGTCAGTTCAGGATAAGCAGGGAATGACGGCCCTGCATTTAGCAGCGTCTCGTGGAAAGGGAGATATGGTGGAAGCCTTGCTTCAAAAGGATGACCGATGCATAACCTTAAAGGATATTCACGGTTGGGCTCCTATGCACTTTGCCAAAGCATATGGAAGGACCGAGGCTGTCTCCGTTCTTTCTAGTATTTCTCCATCAGGAGTACAAGAAATGCCAAGTTGCTACCCCCCAAGCCGCTGGGTTGGTGAAGAAGAGAGGCCTACAAAAAACTTGCTAGCTGAGGGAGGCCTTAAGGTTATCACTGGTGAGTACCGATAAGCAAAACGTGGATACATGCTGACGGTTTCGACCTACTCGGCTAGGAGGAATCGACAACGATTGGACCAGGATACAAATTCGCCCTAACCATCCAATGCCCCTCGAAAAACATGTATATTACTATGAGGTGGCAATTATCAATGCTGCAACATTCAGGTGAGTCACACCTACTCTATATATTTTCATGCTAGTCTGCTGATTGGTTTTCGTTTGATGGACAGGATTCTGGGCCTCGGATTCTGCGAGGAAAACGCTGAGAAGGAGGGGATGCCTGGCTGGCGGAATCATTCGTGGGGTTATCACGCCGATGATGGATTACTCTACGCGGAAAGCGGGAGAGGGAAAGAGTATGGACCAACATATAGGGATGGAGATGTAGTGGGATGTGGTGTGGATTTTGACGCACAATGTGCGTTTTTCACCTGTAACGGAAAGATCCTCGGTATGTGACTTTGTCTCGGTGCCTCACTATTTCGGTGATATGTCTGACAAGGATTGAAGGCACGTTCCCTTGTAAATTGCAGGGTATCTACTACCCTGTGTTGGGCTATGGCGAGAACGGGATTGAGATCACTACGAACTTTGGCCCTGGTGGATTTCGCTTCGAAGGGGTGGACAGTTACTGCTGGCGGAAAGAGATTGAACCACAAGATGAATGAGTATATGATATGCAGCAGCTATGCTAGATGACTTACAAAACGGGTGGTATATTTAACCTATTGCGCGACTGGCAGAGACGTATGCAGCACCACAGCCGGGATAGCATCCAAATCCACAGCATCCAGATGCTGGGCATCATACACCTTAGTAGTAGGTGGTAAAGCCGGATTAAACACCACCGGATCAACTCTAGGCTTCTTCCCCAGCCAATCTTCAATCTTATTAAACCTCCCCATCTCAGCTTTCACCTCAATTGTCCCGACAAACACTCTCCCCGGATCCCTCCGCAACAGCACCGCCGTCGTAATCGCCCCAGGAATCCCACTCCTCTGACTAGCATTCTCCTCCAAAACCCACTGAGCGCCATTCGGCTCCCCACACAACCGGTTCGTAAAAAGGCTCGTCCCAAAGATCGAGATGTGATCCTTCACCTCCGCACTCTGCGACCGCGTCCACCCAGTTCCTATACTCGCCGTAACGACCCCACCACCCTGTACCCCTGCATCCCCACGAACCTCCTTACTCAGTGAGACTACCGACTCATTCATAACGTATTGTCCATCCAGCGAGACTTTTCTGACTTCGGGTGTATCGCCATCCCCATCCTCATCATCATCATCCATGTCCGCATAAGCAAAATCCCATTTGATCCGCGCGTATTTGAATCGACGATCGAGAGTCTGTCCGAGAAATTCAAATTTGGCGACTATGAGAGTTGCGTTGGAGACGTGATCATCGGGATGAAGATTTCCGTGGATGACGTGCTGGAGTCGGCCTTTGACGATCCGGTCGGAGCGATGGTAGGTGCGGTGAATGAGATAGTGACGTTGTTCTTCGTTGGGGAGGTTGGTCATTCGATAGGCGCTGTCTTCGTTGCCGGTTTCGTGGAGGGGGATGGTGAAGGTGTATTGGTTTGCCATTTGGGTTGTGCTTGGTTTTGTTGTAGGCAGTGCTCTTGCTTACTATTGTCGGTTTGTGTTGTACTTGGGAGGGGAGGTTCTTGTTTTGAGTGGGTGTTGTGAAGAAGATAAGGAGGTATAGGTGAGGCTGAGGCTGGGGCTGAGGGTTAGATTGCGGGGTTCATTGCTGCTGTACTTCAGACACGTGTCGTGCCTTTTTGGAGGTCGGTACACTTGTGTTTGGCTGTTTATGTTTCAATGGATGTTGTTGATATCATACTTTTGGTACTGATCCTGCGGTATACGGGTTCAGTATGGTTTTGCACGGTTGGGGAAGTTTACTGTAGATTCTGGTTAAGGTTGTACCTCAACCTTAATCCTATACCCTGTTTATTAGGGCATGAGGGTGGGGCGATGGATGGTCTCCGTATGCTTGTTGGGGAGGTTGATCCCTTTTACGTTATATTTAGTAAGGTAAAAAACATCATAGAACAGAATAAGTTGTGTGATAAGAGCTTTTGATCCTACCTGCTACGATTCACTTGTCCTCTTCCTTTTGTCTACGGAGTACTAGTATATGTGTCGAGCTGGAAGCATAGGGAAGCTGGCTTTGGGTATGCGACATTTAACAGTGAAGTTCCACTTATGATAAGAAGTCATTGAAGGTTTGGTTTATCGTGGTCTGGCATGTGGCTTGAGAATAGGCATTTCATGGTCGGCTAGTGGATGTAGTCTTTCTTGGTTGTTAATGTGGTAGCTAGTCTTGGTTCAAGTCTACTTCTAGGATACAGTTTGATCACTCAACTAAAGATCCCAATTGATGTCAAAGATATATAATAGCAATTAGTACATAATCTCCCAGTTCATTCTGTTCAAAATTACTTACATGCTTAATAGAAAACAAACTACCATACAATCCATCAATATCCATACCAAACATCTGCACTACACTGCTTTACACTCCACTAAACCGAAAAGGGTCCTTGAACCACAACACCATCATAACCCCCTATCGTTTCGTTAGACCAATTGAATACTTATGCTTTAATTTTCACACTATATTATCCTAGTTCTACAAAAGTCTAGTACATACGACCACAGGGTGTGGAAAACAGGGCTTCCCGTCCGCTCAGCCGTACTTAAGCCACACGCCGGGAGGTTAGTAGTTGGGTGGGTGACCACCAGCGAATCCCTTCTGTTGTATGTATTCTTCTTTTTTTATCTTTTTATTATTTTATCACAAACAATATTCATTCGAATCAGATCAAATAGATCGGTAGCCCTCCTTCACTGTCTCGTTCAGTCCAAGTGTCATTCATATGATTGTCTCCTATAACCAAGAATCCTACGAATCTGTCCCTCCAGCTGCGCACAACACCAAGCAATCACAGGCAGACCAAACCTATCTTTGCTACTACATGCCAACTCGGAAAAATAAGCCCGCCGAAGGTATTACCACTAAAGTCTTTCCTTAACACACAAAATGCTTATTACTATATATCATTAAGCTATTTGCAATTCAAGTCATTAGCTCATATCCCTGACCCTAGCCCTAACCTGACTGGTCCAATTATCCAGTCCAAAAACCATGCGCATCCATAACGTCGTAAACCCAAAACAAGAGACGATATCGATATTGATTAAGTCTTAGTGAGCTTGGTACTTTTGCTGCTAGGGCCTCCCCAGCACCACTTCGCCAAGGTGATGAGCCAATTCATGTCCCGCTCCCGCATGTCCATAAGCGGGCAACTTCGCATGACAAGCTGGCCCTTGTCAAAGTAAGCCTCAATAATCCGGAGGTAGTGCTCTCCAATGGCTGATAGCAGCAGGGCCTGCAAGAGCGGTGAGCGTTTCACTTTGAATTGAATAATAGGGGTATTTAAAGGCTTACAGGGGCAATAACGTGAGGTCGAAGCGCTGGATCTCGCAAGCGTCCGTGCATGATCATAATCGCTGCGTCAACCTCGCTGCGGCAAAGCTCCTTGTTTTGTGGTTGGGCGAGCTCACTCCACATGAGGGCCACGATATGGGGGGCTTCAGTGTTGGTATCGTACCAAACTGATTCAACCTGCCACTGAGAGCCCAAGGTTACGCAGCCCAAGTCCTGAAAATTGAAATTTCCCCAACTGGGCGGCTAAACATCAATAAAGTTGAGTATTCAGAAAAAGGGGGGCGAAACTAACGAGGACATTCCAAAGCGAGGTGGGTGAGTGTCTGCATCTGGCATCTCACAACGGCAGAGAAATCGGTTCAGACAAATGGCGAGGTGTTCTGCATTCTTATATGGGCATCCGTCGAATTCCGGCCAATCTTCCGCATCATCGGGATATTCATACTCAGGTTCTTCGATGGGATACAAGTAAGAAGAGAAGTACTACGGAGGATTACTGGTATCCAGTGACATTTCTGTGTGATTGATTTTGGCCTGCTTGAGATGGGCGGGTAACAAACGATGATCAAGTTTGCCAAGCTGTCCATAAATATTGTTCAGCTCCTGCCGGCGATATTTCCTCTCAAGTATTAGTTGCTCATCCATACTGGGCTTTCATTTGTGATGGCGAGAAACAATGAAGCGCGGAGGACTTTTACAAGATGACGAGTCGATCACGTGTCCCGGAGAGGATTCATGTCTGAGGCATGAAGGGGTGATAAGCATTGTATGATGAGAGGAGGAATATCCTAACATAAACCCCTAAATGGGTTTAGTGGATAGTAGCTTGCAGTGGCATATGTCTCTTGAGTACCATCTGGAAGCAATCTGTGATGAATCATCACTTACAGAATGACAAAAGCAGCGCCAAGAATGAAGTGATTTTGAAAGGTCTCAAGAAGCGCTTATAGCATTATCCTTGACATATTCACTAGTCTCGTATCTGAGAGGCTCCTCAACTGGCGGATCAAAGTCGTCAAGAGAAGCTTTTCGGGCGTCTGCATGTTTGAGTTTTGAATGCGCCGTGGCTTGCCCGTGTCACTACAGGGTTTCCCATTCGACTTTATATCCGCCATAGAATCATTGTTAGATGGGCAGACTGATCGAAACTGACAGCCTTGTCTTTTGGGGCTCAACACACTTTTATCCGGAGCGAAGCGAGGTTGCTCTCAGGGTCTTTTCCGTCCATCTCGGATGCAGTCAGTTTCGACACCCACAATGTTCTTGTCCAATGACTCCGGGACTAAGTGAAATTCATGATTATATGGAATCAAAATGATCAACTGACTAGTATGTCTAGCACGTGCCCCGGGGCAAGATACCGGGCTGGGAGGTCAGGGGTCCTCGTTCCCGACTTCACTATGTCCCTCATCGACGCTCTTCATCCACACCACCGTGCAAACCCCTGAAGAAGACACAGCCAGCAACTCAACAGGTCGGTGGCTCAATTCATCAATGGGAATTTGTCCGGCCAAATTTCGATAGATCATGGATCAAAAGCCGAGTTACCCATCGACGGGCTCCTTCGTATCTGTCAACATCAATGCGAATTGCGCGATCAGCTTTTGCGGGTTTGCGATTCGCATCTTTGCTTCTATCGGAGTATAATGCGTGGAGTCCATCATTAGCTATGACTCGTTGCTCTCTGGGAGAGATCATCAAGGGAAAGATAAGCTACCCATCAAGCAAATCAGATTGTTTTACTGACAACTCGAGACACGAAGCAAGGTACTTCCTCTTAATACGGTTTACTGCAGACATCCTTCTATGCAGCGTCTTCCTCTAATTTGTATGTTGATAGCCTAGATTAGGTTAATAAGATAAGTCGAACACCTATGCAGCTGTGCCATTGAGGTCCTGTCATCCGTGCAACACCCGAGCATGATGCCGAATATGCTGTCGTCCGACCAACACCACGTATTGATGTGAGATAGAGCACTCAGTTTTTCACCGACTGCAGGTTTTAGCTGCAGCTCACTGACTCATAATAGTGTGATGCCGCGTTCGGAGACCGAGCCGAAGTTGGACGAGGAGCTCGCTGAGAGGCCCGATAGGATCATCCCGCCGATGATCCTTCAGCCCAGGGCCGTAACCCAATCTGGCCCCCGCCGTATGCCTGACCGACTATATCTCCAGCACCCCGCTCTCTTCTGGCCTCTGCTACACGCAGATTATACTCAGTGCTAGCAGAACATAATATCAACTATGGCGCTTGAGCAAAAGTCGGCCGCCTCCATCGCCGAGCAGCCCTGGCGCTCAACAGACTTGCAAGGCCCGTCTGACCTTAGCGCCGCGCATTCCACTGCCAGCTACGGCAGACCCCGATCATTCGAGATCGTTGAACCACCAGCTCAAATCTCCACCAACACCTTTCACGTCCGTGACACTACTCCCCATGATATATTTCCAGATGGTGGAACCCGGTCATGGGTTGTTGTTCTGGGGTCCTTCTTTCTACTCATGAGCAGTTACGGCATGATGAACTCTACTGGTGTCCTGCAGAGTTATTTTGCCAGCCACCAGCTCTCGGACTACACTAGTAGTGTCATCGGTTGGATCCCGGGTCTATTTGTCTTCTGTGGCCTAGGCTTGGGCGCCCAGGTTGGTCCGATGTTCGACAGGTACGGGCCTACGGGCATTCTCATCGCTGGGACAGCCTGCTACGTCGCGGGCCTGCTATTGATGGCCGAATGCCAACTCTACTGGCAATTTATCCTGACCTTTGGTGTTCTCACTGGCATGGGCGCCGCTTTGCTGAGCACGGCTGCCATTTCTGCCGTTCCCCATTGGTTCGATCGCCGAGTTGGCTTGGCCATGGGCACGGCGATGGCCGGAGCGGGAGTTGGGGGTGTGGTATTCCCCTGGGTTCTCCGGGCAGGGTTCAAGGACCTTGGATATAAGTGGACCATGCGGCTACTTGCATTGATTGTGGGGACCTTGTGTGCAATGGGAATCGCTTTTGTTCGTTCTCGTCTACCGAGGAGCCAGAGTAAACCGAGCATCAACGTACGTGCGTTCCAGGATGCCAGGTTTACTTGGTTGACCATGGGAACTTTCAGTAAGTCCAAGATTTTCGGTCTCTGGTAGAATAATATTAGTCTGCTAATGATCTGTAGTCATGGAGCTGGAAGTCTTTGGCTGCCTGGGTCTTTACCCGACATATGTTGTAATGCAGGGATTTGGCACAACCACCAGCATCATCCTCCTGTCTATCTTGAACGTGTAAGGGCCGACATGATCTCATTACTTTGAAAAGCCGGTCAAGTCTGATGCAATATTTTAGGTTCTCTACCATTGGTCGCCTCGTCGCTGGTGGTGTCGCAGACAAGTATGGGCGAATCAACACGCAAATAGGTTTGCTCGGCCTAGGTGCCGTGGCGGTCTTCGTCATCTGGCTACCCTTCGGGAGCAAACTAGCAGGACTCTATATCTTCAGCTGTGTATACGGCTTCGCTTCCGGTTCCTTTATTAGTCTGGCACCAGCTTGCATCGGTCAAATTTCCAAAGCCAGCGAAGTGGGTGGGAGATTCGGGGTTTGCTATCTGACCGTCAGCTTTGCGTATGTCGCCCGAACTATCGTAAAGGAATGTGCTAATATAACTGAGCAGTACATTAATCAGTATCCCCATTGGTGGTGAGATGATCGAGACAGTCGGAAAGCAGGCCATGGTGGCCTTTCTCGGTGCCGTTCTGGTCATCGCGATGGGCATGTTTTCCATGGCACGGTGGTCATGCCTTAATTACAGATGGCGGTGGCAAGCTAAAATCTAATTTTTGTTTGGTAAGAATCCGTTGCGGCCAAGTGAGTAAGACGCATTTGGCGTTAAAAGTTTGATATTTGGTTGCAACTTTCGGTGTCCTTTTCTATCTAATATCACCATTTTGATGGTTTTCGGGGTATTCAAGGCAGTCCTGGCGCCACATCAGCAAGTAGCACACGACTAGTGGTTTCATCTATTTCTGGTTTCTGAGAAACTAACTTCATTGGGCGCATTCATCTCGGGCATGTCATCGTGTTGGTGGAGATTTGGGGTGAATCTTTGGCCATCGATGTCGCCGGAAACATCGAGTTAGGGCTGCGGGGGGATATGGTGGCCGTGATTGGTGCATCGATCCAATTGAATTCATATCCCGCCGGGGCCAACCCGAGCAATACAAGCATAGTATATTTCTTGTCATTGGCATATGGTAGGAGCTCTACCGTCTACGTAGGCTTCTATAAATAACCGACAGATACAGGCTTCCTATTAAGGCGCTTGCTTTGAGGATGGTTGTAGACGCACGTACGTTGGTGGTCGTGTAGATGGCGAGATCTCGATCCTTGTTATGCTTGTTCAGGTATATGCCTACCCAGTGATTACGGCTCTAGCAGCTAGTGGCTTGCATCTATTCTGTCAGTGGAGTACTGGTGTGCGAGTGATAGTTTGGGTACTATCACCATGATGTCGATGTCGCTGCAGACTGAAAAAGATAGTGGTGCCGTGATATATAATGGAACGTGTTGAGCTGGTAGTACTACTAGTATTAGCAAGCACCGACAACCACTCAGCGCACAGCTTAACAATCAAACTGACACATAAACTTAGCTTTATTAGAATATCCTAATCATCATTCACACCGCTCCCCCCAAACAACACCCTTAAACCAATGGAGTCAACGAAACTTCCCTCAAAAGGCAACATGAACCCTACACACAACCCCCAAACATAATGTCAAAAATAGCCAAACCAACATATCAAATCCTCGATGGTCTAACGGTCATGATTTCCGCTTGTCAATCCCCTTTCGGGAACAAGCGCGGGAGACCTGGGTTCGACTCCCAGTCGGGGAGATTCTTTTTTATCCCATCATTATTTCTTGGTTTTTTTTGCTCTTGATTACCCCAGTACCCCCTGACCACCTATTGGACACAACAAATTTCCTTTCATATTCGTATTTGGCATTCCTGCCACTAGCTCGTCCACGGTACTGCTGCAAAGCGCAGAAGTAACTAGCCGAAGTAACGCTTCATAGAACAAAGAGAACCGTACACTGAAACCATCCAAACTAGGTTCTACAGTTTCGTGGCTAAAGTTATTTTCACACACCAAACAACATAGCCTACCCTGTAGCCAATAACACACAGTAACTAGCTAACAATCTCAATGAAAGCACGCATCAATTGCCGCGCAACCATCCTGTAGTATCAAATCCTTATCGCACCCGCCAAGCACACCCTACCCAAATAGGATAAATCACGCCCGCCGCGCCCCACCCGAATCTGGTCGCGCCGCAGCGCGTTCCACCGAACAAAGGAAACCGTCGGCAACAATCAATACGCCGTTACTTGCGTGCCCTTACAGACAAACAAAACAAGACAAAACAAGACGACCAGATGCTCATTGCGATGTAGACTGTCAATTCCACATCCACAGACACCTATAACACCCACATCCCTACCCAGAAAGAGAGAAAGAAAAGAAGACCCGAAGAAATGGCACCTGCCCGTAAACGCCGCGCGGTATGTCACTCACTCACACACCTATACACCACACCAAGCTCAAACCTAACACGTAACTGCATGCAAAGGTCCCCGACTCACCCAGCGAAGAAGACGACATACCCACGCCCGCGACGCAACGACGCCGGGTAACAGCGGCGCATAGCGAAGACGAAGACAACGACGACGACGATGCCGGTTCCGATGATGCGTACGATACGCGGGCGCCCAGTAGCACGGACGTGATGGTGAAGAAGATGGTGCGGTTAGCGCTAGCGAGCGAGTTCTCGCGACTGCCGATCCGACGATCGGATATTAGTGTTAAGGTGCTGGGGGAGCAGGGGACGAGGCAGTTCAAGACGGTGTTTGAGGAGGCGCAGAGGTTGTTGCAGGAGAAGTTTGGGATGGAGATGATGGAGTTGCCGGTTAAGGAGAAGGTTACGGTGCAGCAGAGGAGGGGTGAGTTTTTCCATTCATTTATTTCTTGTGATGGGGGGAGGGTGGGGGTTGTGTGAAAGTGTGTATTGGCTAACTGGTGGATGTGGATGTGGATGTGAATAGCTGCGCAAAAGGTTGAAAAGCCTTCATCCACGAACAAGTCCTGGATAGTGACGACTACGTTGCCGACAAAGTACCGGAAGCCTGAGATTTTGTTGCCTAGTAGGGCGCCGATGGAGAGTACATATACGGGGCTGTATAGTTTTATTATTGCGGTGATCGTGCTTAATGGGGGCACGATTCATGAGCAGAAGCTCGAGAGGTATCTGAAGCGGACTAATACGGATGCGTGGACGCCTATTGATCGGACGGATCGGTTCTTGCAACGGTTGTGTAAGGAGGGGTATTTGGTGCGCAATCGCGATGTGGATGGTGGGGAGGAGGTCATTGAGTATATTCTTGGGCCTAGGGGGAAGATTGAGGTGGGGACGAAGGGGGTTGCGAGGTTGGTTCGGGAGGTCTATGGACAGTCTGAGGGCAGTGAGAGGGATGATGGGTTTGAGATCCGGCTGGCGCGGAGTCTTGGGCTTAAGCAGCCGGAACAGCGTGCTCAGGAAGAGCAGGCTGAGGAGGGTGGTGGTGATGATGAAGAGGAGGGCGGGAGGCAAAGGCAGAGGCGGGAGCAGCCTAGCCGCCGGGTTAATAGGCGGTTGCCTGAATCTGAGGCTGAGGAGGAGAGTGAGGAGGAGGAGAGCGATGGTTGACCACCATGTCTTCTTTTTTTGTTTATGTGATGACTTGTTGTTTGTTGTATTGTTTGCTAGCTAAATTCTGTCTGAATGATACCCGTTGATTATGGTTCTGACTTGCATAGATTGCTCACCTGGTATGGAAGAAGATCATAGTTGGTACCAGCCCAAAACACCACTGATGATTTAACAAGCATTCATATTAGACCCGCGGACTGGCCGCATGCATCCGAACAGCCATCTATGCTTCGAATACAGGAACAAAGTAATCATCAGTGGTATATCTATGATCAAAAAAGTCGCTATACACAGTTGTTGCCGTCTATTCGCTGTCACTGGCGCTGTCGTGAACCGATCCATTGTCCGCATCCTCCCTTAGCCCCTCCGCCATGATGTACTCTGCTTGCTGTAGCGTGGTCTTGATCCCCGGGTTATTGTAGACGAGCTCAGCTGGTTTCTGACCGTGCTTGTTCCTGACACGCGGATCACAACCGGCCTCGCACATCATCTTGATCATTTCTTCGCCTACTTCGGCGTCTTTCTCGTTCGCATAACGCACGGCGGTATGCAGCGGGGTATCTTTGTCCAGACGGGTGAGGGGGTCGCATTCGAAGTACTGAATATCGAAGAGGGCATCCATGACGTCGTCTGCAACACAATGTCATTAGATTAGCATGTGTATAAGGCAGTGCTGATGCCAAGAGGATAGGGCTGTGGTCTCAATGAGGGGTGTTCACTTACAGCTACCGTATGCAGCACATATGTGAAGAGCGTGATTCCCCATCGAATCCGTCACACCGTTGAAGAATTCGGCTACTTCTTCATTCGACTTTCCTTCCATACGCTCCAGGACACTCTCTATCAAATGAGGCTGATCTCGACGGCAGGCCTCTACGACTAGTTCACGGGGGGAAGCGCCCTATGCAACCAATGCTTGTTAGCAACGGAACCGGAGTGGGGGTATTGCAGCACTCACTTCGTCAGCCATGGTTGCTCGTTCTTGGGAAATGACAAGTGTAGAGTATAATAAGTAGCTGTATCTTGAATATTCAAGGGTGGTTGCGCGGAGGGGTCAAACAAATGCCGCAAGTATGGGGCCGGGTTAGCCGCGAGGGTGGTAAAGGAGGCGGTGTCGGAAACGAGGACTGGGGATCAGCAATGCCTCAAAGCAACTGAAACAATCGACGTAGTGTTTCAGGGTGGTGAGTCAGTAGCCCTGAGTGTTGAGAAAACACAGAAAGCGTTAATCGATGTGAATACCTTGCAGCTGCGTTTGAAAGTACTATCAGTAGGATACTGTCTCCTATTGTTGTTCCCCCGCGGCCGAGCATACAGTGCAGTGGAATGGATGCATGACTCCCGCCGCGGACAGCCATTCGGAAGGGAGGTTACTCCGGCCGGCCAGGCAGCCCCGCGTCCAATCGGCGGCGGTGAATCTCTCCGCCAACGAAATCGCCGGTCGATAAGAGCCTCAGCAGCTAGCCGGCGATTATCGTCCAGATCGCTGCGACCCTTACTTGCGCCGGACAGTGGCAGCTGCACCAGTCCCGTAACCGCCTTTATGAAGGCTATGCTATGCGAAAATTGTGCTACAATCTGACTGACTGATTGATCCCTTGATTGATTGACGGACTTTCACCCAGGAAGAAGCAAGCAAGCAAGCAACATTCACGATGCCGTTGACCTGTCAGTTTTCTCCTCTTGCAGCCTCTACAATCTACAGTACTTGTTAACTAACCCTCACCTTTCTACTCCCCAGTCTGCCCTAACTGCAGCAATGCGCTCACAATCTCTCGTGCCGAACCGACCACAAGACATCCCCTAGGCGTCAACCGATTCGAATGCCGCACCTGCCCATACCAATATGCTCTGGACCAGAGCTGGTTTGAGAAGACACCCATGAAGCAGAAGGAAGTGGAAGATGTCTTTGGAGGCAAGGAAGAATTCGCAAATGCAGATAGCGTGGCCAGTAAGTCACAAGCCTGGAGGGGCACTTTTCCCTACGGTTGTTGGAATAAACTTGGGGGCTTGGGGCTAATGTTGTGCTTTCTCTTCCCTTTTTCCCTACCCGCAGCTCAATGCCCCGCAGAAGACTGTAATGGCGACCGCGCATACTTTTTCCAGCTGCAGATTCGGAGTGCAGACGAACCGATGACCACATTCCTAAAGGTGGGTGCGCACCAGCGGCTTATGCGGTTCTCATGCATCTGGCCTGACATGCCTTGCTGATTGCGGTTGACAGTGTACCACGTGTGGTGCCCGATGGAGAGAGAACTGAGGCTACTCCAGCATTAGAGTTTGGACTATGGAGATATCCCTGGAGAACAATATGTGTTGTTCGAATAATAGAGGGGCGGGGGATAACGTAGAGGAAGAACGGGAAGGATAGGAAAGGGAAAAAAAAGGGAAGGCTGGTGCTACGGTGTATGATTAGGATGATGATCTGGGCCCTTGCGATTGTGGTTGTTCCCATTTGCGATGATTTACATCGAAATTACTAGAGATACCCCTCAATGGATGATGACACCAATCCATAGCAACTACTATACAAGAGTGGTTAAACTACACGCCTACTCCCTATTAGAGTGAGCTAAGAAAAGTATGTCAGATTAAGCGCAAAAGAAGAAATTTTCTTCCCGCCTCGTTGATCCAATTTATTATTTTTTTTAGTATTTAATTTTTTTTGGGACCATTTTTTCCGTTCCTATTTCCCCCTCCTACAGAATTTGCCGCCGCCAACAAAATCTACGTACTAACTATTCATGGTAACCTGGCAACGGCGGGCAAATAATGGCCCGATTGGGATTGGCCAGATCCAGGTAAGCTACCAAGTTAGTAGGAGTATAAGTGGTACTTTGTAGAAAGGATCCTTTGTGTGTGTTGTTTCTGGTACGGTACCAGATCTTGAGTCATTTTTTTCTCACTTCTTTTTTCTCATCCTCAAAACAGCCACTGTCGGGGTCCTAAAGAGGAAGGGGGTTGGTTAAGAATGGGAAAAGAAAAAAGACGAAATAAAAAGAAAAGAGAAAGGCTAGATACCTAACCGCACTGTCAGGTCAAGACACTAAGTGAGGGGCAGTGATGATGGCAAAAAAATGATGTGGGCAAGTAAAAAAAAAAAAGATTTTCTCTCACATGTTTTGCCGCACCAGCCATCCCACTATCAAAAAGCGATGATGTTTGAGATTGTCGGGTGTCCACATCATTTTTTTAGTGTGAATCGCTAGTAAGAATTTGAGATATTATTGAGCATCATCCCATGATAGCGAGTACAAGTCCCGAGTAAATACCAACATTGCTATACTCCCACTGCTGTTGCTGCTATCTAGTTTGCTACGTTGGTCGTTGACCTCACAGGGATTTCCACCAAAAAAGTGGACCGGGCGGGCGCCACTCGGCCGTGCCACAGCAGCCTGAGAGCGGACAAATAACAACAGCCGCTTGCCGCGGGGTTCGGTTGCAAACATGACCAAACAGGCCAGGCCATCATCAACCCACCGCTGCGTTGATGCCCAGGATTTCAGTCCAATAATCCACTATTTACCAACGGATAGAGCTAGATGAGTTAGGTCCAGATAGATAGACAAGAGGACCGGAGGGAGGGGACCGAGAGAGAGAAAAATTTTCGATGAAAGAGTGGTCAAGGTGGGGTCGTAGTTCGGCGCTCCGAAGGCGAGGAACCAAGGAAAGGCGAGAAAAGGACAGGCTGATCGCGCAGTGTTGCTGGGCTGCAAGCGTGTCCAGTTGAGTCTGGAAAAGGCTCCGCCGTGAAGATTCTGCGTTGGTCCCGCACCTGCGTGGTGGGGGCATTACCCCTCCATGTCCAATGAATTCAAGTCAAAGCCAAGGGTTGAAGCCCGCCCGCTTAGTCGCCTTCTCGCTTGACCCCTCCATATAAGTATTTCCCCTCCTCCCCCTCCCACAAATTTTTCCTTTCCCTTTCCTCCCTCGTCCGCTTCAGTACGTATATCTTCCCCTCCCATCTCTCTCTTCCTTCCTGTCTCTTCTCTCTTTCTTCATTCATCCCTCTCTCTAACTGACTTTGTTGCTCAGCACCTCTACGCGTTCTGGCCGTAGTATCTGAGCAATTTTTTCTACAGACTTTTTCTATCTAATTCCAAAAAAGAACTTCGAGTTCATTCACAACCGTCATCATGGGGTAGGTTCAGACAACGATCCATCATCTGAGTGAGAAGGGACATCGGCTAACGGCTATCTTCTCCAACAGTAAGGAGGACAAGACTCACATCAACATCGTCGTTATCGGCCACGTCGATTCCGGCAAGTCCACCACCACTGGTCACCTGATCTACAAGTGCGGTGGTATCGACCAGCGTACCATCGAGAAGTTCGAGAAGGTAAGGAGGATCATACATCAGACAGAATCATAACAAGACACGGTACTAACTACATCCAACAGGAAGCCGCTGAGCTCGGTAAGGGTTCCTTCAAGTACGCTTGGGTTCTTGACAAGCTCAAGTCCGAGCGTGAGCGTGGTATCACCATCGACATTGCCCTCTGGAAGTTCCAGACTGGCAAGTATGAGGTCACCGTCATTGGTATGTATTCATTAAGTTCTCTCTTCATCAAATCAATGTACTAACGTCCATCTTAGACGCCCCCGGTCACCGTGACTTCATCAAGAACATGATCACTGGTACCTCCCAGGCTGACTGCGCTATCCTCATCATTGCCTCCGGTACTGGTGAGTTCGAGGCTGGTATCTCCAAGGATGGCCAGACTCGTGAGCACGCTCTGCTTGCTTTCACCCTCGGTGTCCGCCAGCTCATCGTTGCCCTCAACAAGATGGACACCTGCAAGTGGTCCGAGGACCGTTACAACGAAATCGTTAAGGAGACCTCCAACTTCATCAAGAAGGTCGGATACAACCCCAAGGGTGTTCCTTTCGTCCCCATCTCCGGTTTCAACGGTGACAACATGCTCGAGCCCTCCCCCAACTGCCCCTGGTACAAGGGTTGGGAGAAGGAGACCAAGGCCGGCAAGGTCACCGGTAAGACCCTCCTTGAGGCCATCGACGCCATCGAGCCCCCCGTCCGTCCCTCCAACAAGCCCCTCCGTCTTCCCCTCCAGGATGTCTACAAGATCTCCGGTATTGGAACTGTTCCCGTCGGTCGTGTCGAGACCGGTATCATTGCCCCTGGTATGGTCGTGACCTTCGCTCCCGCCAACGTCACCACTGAAGTCAAGTCCGTTGAGATGCACCACCAGCAGCTCAAGGAGGGTGTCCCCGGTGACAACGTTGGTTTCAACGTCAAGAACGTTTCCGTCAAGGAGGTTCGCCGTGGTAACGTTGCCGGTGACTCCAAGAACGACCCCCCTCTTGGCTGTGAGAGCTTCACCGCCCAGGTCATCGTCCTCAACCACCCCGGTCAGGTCGGCGCTGGTTACGCTCCCGTCCTGGACTGCCACACTGCTCACATTGCTTGCAAGTTCGCTGAGCTCCTTGAGAAGATTGACCGCCGTACCGGAAAGTCTGTTGAATCTGCCCCCAAGTTCATCAAGTCCGGTGACGCTGCCATCGTCAAGATGATTCCCTCCAAGCCCATGTGTGTTGAGGCTTTCACTGACTACCCCCCTCTTGGTCGTTTCGCCGTCCGTGACATGCGCCAGACTGTTGCTGTCGGTGTCATCAAGGCTGTTGAGAAGAAGGAGGGTGGTTCCGGCAAGGTCACCAAGGCCGCCCAGAAGGCCGGTAAGAAATAAGCTGGTGCAGGGTGAAAATGGCATGATGAACCTTTGATGATCAAACAAAACAATGGAATTACGGAATTAGACTTTAAGTTTATGTAGTTGATCCTACAAAACTTGAATTACGACTCGTTTCGTTCATTTAGCTCGCATCGTAGGCATTTTGTAGCGTTTTCCGTTTTCGGCGACATGAAGCTGAAGTAGTGGTTCTATATCAAATCTTAGTAAGCCGTCAGCGGTGGCTGACTAATCACATCACCAACCACTCACAGTGCTTTCTGCTTAGACGTCCCTCGCAACGTAGAACTTGACAAACAAGCCATATCGACTCTGTTGGTTACAGTCAATAACGATACATGTTCGAGATGTCCTCTGCGACTTGAGCCTACGTTACGCCTCTATTGGTTCTATAATTACATTCTGCTCTATTTAATTGATGTTCGTGTTGTAACTACCAAGTTACGATCTTATCATGCCACAACTACCCTAAGAAGTCCATTCCAATCGCTAAGTCACCGTCTCCGACATGCCATCCATGTATGTAGTTGAACGCAACCATTCCAGCTTCATTCAGTCTTCGTAATAATCGTCTCTATCATCTTAATAATCTTGAAGCGTATTAACTATTGTTATTATAATAACTTAGGAAGCAATAATCCACTACTACTACAGTAATAAGTTCCCTCATTCAGATAAACTAGCCAGAAATGATTGTAAGCTAAGCAACTGCTCTTAAGTCAATTGTTGTCTTGATCAATGGGTGTGGCGGGTATAGTATGTAGTCTCTGCCTGTACGCAAGTCAGGTACTCTTCTTACTTGCTGTGTTAGTTGGTCTATTGAAGTTGATCAGTCCTTTATTCTGTCGCTCCTAGGCACTTACGGTGGGTTTGAAGGGGCGCTTCTATGCGCACATTAAGTCTGAAATACTAATAGTAGCATTTAACATTCTGGTGGTAGTCATAAAACTAACATGAACATGATGGGAGGAAGTAGATGGGGTTATAAATAGGCCCCCTATGTAGGTTTCGCGAAGTCGTAGATATATTTTCTTTCTGGATTCTTAACAACTAGTATTTGACGGGTGTCGCATTGCTGGCTTTCTGGATTGACATAACATTCCTTTGTAAAGAAGTAGGACAAGGAAAGCAAACGGGCAATCTAGAAGCATAACGCCAACTGGCGAGTATATTACCCACTATCTAACATTAGAAGTAAGACGGAAGATCGGCTTCAACTTACTAAACCTAAGGAGTGCACTAGTAATCTAGGATATTGAAAAGAGTCACTTCAGCCCCAAATCTCTCGACATTTTTTTCTTGTCGCTGGATCCCGACACCCACACTCTTTCGAAGGCCATCAAGCATCGAAGGCGGAGGCAGAGGTGCTGTTGGACGTACAAGGAGCATGTCCCTTCAGGTGACCGACCTTTCCTTTGGAGCAGCTTTTCTTCATCTCCCTATCCCCTCAACGCATTCATGGTAACATTTGTGTTCTCCGTAATCAAGTCAATAAGGCTGTTGCATGCGCGAAGAACTGGCTTATGTCTAAATTATATACCAGCATGAGCTGACTATTCGCTCTTTGCTTTAGTCCTTCACTGAGACTTGCTGTATGGGTGTCTGGAAACGACGAACATTTCTTGGCGCTATCTGAGCTCAGTTGGTGCTCTGCTAAACACTGTCATATATCTTAGGCTTTCGAGATGAATGGAAATAACTAATACGTCTCTCACTGGTGGGACTAGATGCAAGAGGCTTCTTGCCTTTTTGATTCTGAGATCTCAATGACGATGCTTAATATTCTACAGAGGTGGTTTTACAAGAAAGTCAACGGGAATCTGAGATGTTTTATCTCATTTTCATGCTATAATACAGGATACTATTTGGTCTGAAAATATTCCACAGCTGCTGCTTGTCGAACGTCCGATCACAAACCAACTCTTCTCGTTGTTGCCACTTTTCGAGCTTGATTAGGACCATTACCAGCCGTTCATCTCGTGGTACTCGACCGTGGCAACTTACAAACCCAGCATTGCCTTTCTGATCTTGTCATCTGAGTGGCCCTCTTCTCTGTCTTTTCCAAGCATCCCTCTTGTCTTGGATACTCGTTGGTGGTTCATCGACTTGGCAGATGCCCTCCATTCTCAAAAGATCCACAAAGGCGAGAGTGATTAGGATCATTTCTACAATTCCAGGTATCACTAGCGCTGTTTGCACTGCCCTCTCTTTTGACATGATATTTTTTTCCCATTTGAGTCAAGATCTGTTGCCCCTGTCCCTTTCTTTGGGTCCTCATCTGGTAAGAACTCCTCTTTATTTGGCTCTTCGCACCCGCTGTTGGGCAGCTCTGCGACCTCGCATGATTCTCCACTTATGAGTATGCGTCATAGAGGCCTCTACCATTTTCGGTGTTTGTTTTACATCTCTCCCACTGGTATTCCTTGCCTTTCCCCCCTGGGGCAATATTCTGCTCGTCAGTGCTTTTGGCCTTCTCCGGGTGCACACGCCGCCAATTCCGCATGTTCTGCTTCGATCTTTTTCAGGTTATTTATCGGCTCGGGTGACAGAATGGCTCTCCATCGTTTGTAGTATTCTCTCTGTTTCTTCAAACAGGCTAGCCGCTTCGCCCAGGCTTCAGGATCTTATAATTTGGTGGCCTGCTTTTGGGAAGGCCAGAGGTCTTCTTTGTCAAGTCGTCCTCATTGGCACTCTGTGAAGAACTTTCATCTTCACCCGGTTTCAAAATCAGGGTCCAAGTCCATGTGGTCATCAGGACTATTATCCGAGGCCTCAATACCTCCGGGCAAACTGCCATGGACCGATTGGTTGATAGACGTGGATACACAGCTTCCGGCTAAGTTGTCGCAAATCCAGTAGTAAGGATCTCCTCATTTATTGGAGAAAATCGGCCTTCCTGAATCCTATGTAGCGTACCGCCTTAGGCTTTCGTGCATGCCTCTAACCAACTGAAGACCTGCTCAGGATCTCCATACACGCATGCATCGTGTAGGTGCTTAGAGCATTTCAGTGCGTCTGCCCCTAAACATTGTATAATATATCGCTTCTGCAAGCAGGCATATCGGTCGTATATAATTGACAAGGTCTGCATCTGAGCTCATCGCCACCATAACAAAATGAATAGTGTAACGAACTTGCAAGTCCTTGAATGAAGGTCTTGGTTTAACAGTATATACTGAAATGAGTGATGCCTAGTGCAAAAATGGTCAGAGTCCAACGCATCAACAAATGGTGGGCTGGTATGAACCTACACAGACTTGGCAGAGATGGTGTCATATTTGTCCGACGGCCACTGAGTCCCTCTTTGTCAGGAACATATTTCGGCATTGCGTTTATATATTGGTACGTGCACCTGCTGGCTTCCATACTATAAAATATCTTGTTCTGGTAGATGATTTTTGCCGTACACGCCGGTTCTTTGGTGCCATGCATCCATAGGATTGTCATGCGTAAATCAAATCGGGCAGGTTTTCCTACCCCATTGTTTCCTTGGAATTACATTATTCAAATGCTAGTTCTATGTCAGCAAAAGATGAATTTGTTGATGAATGTGATATACCTCAGATTCATCATAGGGATTGACGAAAACGGTTGATGGTCATCAAAGCATCGAACTCGATGTAGCCGACGCATTTCTATATAAAAAGGAGTAGTTATATATGATTTAGAAGCCAAGAAACAGTGAATGTTAGAATTATAGATTAGAAAAACTTTCAGGAGAGATGATAACAGGACCTCATCGTGGAACTGCTAGAGCGGGAGATGGCACGCTGAGAGGGGAGAGGAAGTGGAAGAAGGAGAAGAAGGAGAAGAAGGAGAAGAGGGAGAGATGAGCAGATATTTATACCCGAGAACATCTCCATTCTGGGTTCCCAGTCACTCGGAAAATGCCGAGTGTGAGAGGAAACAGTGCAGGCATCATCCTTGGAAGCGCAAACGGCGATTGAATTACGTTCAATTGGCTGGAAAGGAGGGCTGTCCTACCCAGTGACGTACGCGACTGTCACTCCCACCATGCAGATACCCCTTCACCCATACTGGCTTGCGAATCATTCATCATGGCCAGGTGGATGCCTAACTGGAGGTCGTACAATGGCCCCTCCATCCCATCTTGGCAATGCAGAGTCCTCCGGGATGATGCAGCTGTTCTTTTGGATATATTCACCGTCTAAGGGTGGGATTTTCATGAGTAATAACTATCTGACGACCTTATTCATGGCAAGTGCCGTGAGTGACCCAGGGAATGAAATGACCGACAGGAATCAATCGTTTGAGTAATCTAATCGGATGGACGAAGGGTGAGGATGAAGATTAACATTGCAGATAAGCGGGAATAGTATGCAAAAGTTCTATACATTGGCGTAGATTAAGATCGATCTGTTGCCAAGAGTATAATACTGCTATTTATCGATCCTCTTACATGCAGTCCTATATACACCAACCGATCGCTTCCCTAGCAATCTAATCACTCAGCATCCACTCAAGCCATGTACACCTCCATCCGCCGTATATTTACATGACCCTGTTCCAGCTGTAGTGGCATTCTTCCCCGGATACAGCACCACATTGTCATAGTCGATATTATAGCACGGATGTACCTCTGAGCACGAGACCGTCGAGACCACAGACTTCTCAGTATCCACCCATCCCGTGAAATTGACAAAAGCGACATTTGAAATTGACATCTTGCTTGTGCCCGCATAGGAACCATTGTCTCCACTGTCCTGGCTAATGGAAGGACCAGCACTTGCTCCCTGTACATTAAAGTTTGAGAATAGTACGTTACGGATGCTGCCCCAGCCGTCGCCACGAGGCACACCAGCGCTTTCGTAGGAACTTTGGGGGACGAGAGCTCCGACCCAGGTTTTGAGGTAGGCGCTGTTGTGCATGTCTTCGTTGTATCGGAGGATCTGGTCACCGTTAGTACTATTGATGATGGTGGCCGGGAAAACCGCACGTACATTGACCTTGTCCACGCGAATGTTAGCTACGCTGCT